GTTATGCAAGAGGCAAGGATCTCAGGATGATACCTTGTATTGGACCAACAGCATAGCTCAGACAGAGTTAGAGAAGCTTTTCATTTTTCTCTTCTGACAAACTACATTTAGTGCTCAGAGGACAAGGTGCTGAACCTGTATGTAGTTCTCTCTCTCAAGGTTCAGTTACTCTCAATGATGCTGGCTCAAAGTCCAATAAGATAGTATTTGCAGGGATTAATTCTATGCTCGGTGCCAAAGTGCCCCTCTGTTTTAAAGGTGCAGGATTTGGCCATCACACTCCACTCCTGTAAACAGGTAGTCATGCAATTAACTGTGTGCGCGCGCATGTGTGTGAACAGTGTCATTGACTTCAATACATTTCATGCACAATTTTTTTTGTCCACCCCAACACTCAGCTCTATTGTCAGGCCAGGCCTCTCTCGGTCTGCTATCTGGTACCATGTAAAGCAGTACAGCCTATTCTATGGTCAGGTTATCAGTGACTGAATCAGCACCCCAACCCGGGCTAGCCCAGGTGAGGAGGGTGTGTGGACATCCAGCAGGATTAAACACAAGGTCGGGCAAAGGGTGGATGAGCTCCCTATGAGCCAATGGTCATCCATACCTGGAGAGGAGATGGGTGCCACCAGGTCACTGCCTGAAGACTCACCAGTGGAGGAGGGTTGTTCCAGCATTGAAGGTGCTCCAACAGTCACAACAGCCTCAGAACTGACTTGACTTGAACACTTGGCTCCCCCATTGCAGCTCTGCCCATCTGATTTTCTTAGATGTTTTTTGTAGTCTCTTTCAGCCAGTAGAGTACTTGACCCTTGACCAGGAGGGAGAGAAGGGCAGCTGAGCCTACACTTTGTGAACCCATCTCTTCTTCCTCACGATAGAGGAGAATAAAAAGCATCTTGGCCTGGAAAGGATGGGTCTTGTCTAAGTTTAGCTTCCCTTCATTTTAGCCAAGTTTTCTGCTGGCTGCGCACATGCCACTGAGCAAAATTTGGGATGGGGCATAGGGGAGGACAATAGCCAAAACATAAAAATGATTATAGGCTTTTAAAAAAAAAAAATCTTTTTTTTTTCAAGAAAGTGCATACACCTTTGATTTGTCTCACTTCAAAATTAGGGAACGAAGAGTGAGTAGATAAACATAAGATGTGTAAAGCATGCTCACAAGTGTACATTCCTCACTCATCTTGAAAATCTCCTGACAACCTAGGACTACAGTAGGTAAAATAGTAATTCTTCTTTGATTAATTAAAAACTACATCCTTGCCATTCCATTATTTTTTCCTCATGAGTATGGTTGGTGTCCCTCACCTGCGTCTTGGTCAGCATTGATCTAGTTTAGACTTTAAGAACTAGGTTTACCCTCCTTTAAAAAAAAAAGAGGGGGGGGAAAAGTTAAAAAGGTGCCTGTCCAAAGAAACCTCTGTAAAGCAACCTGCCATGTTTATAGGTCTAAGATTAATGGCTTATTCCTTTTGCAGACTCTAGCAAGTGTATTAAAAAAGACAAAGTTTTATAGAGGTAGCTAAAGCGGAAAGAAGGAAGAACAAATTCCACTGTTGAGGAGCTAGACAAATATGAGAGATATCAGAGGTTACCTTATGATATAGGGGTACATATGGACTTGGATCTCAGCAGTTTGGTATTTTTCCAAAGTAGGAAGGAAAGTCTTTTTGTCAGTTTTTCCTAAGCCCTTTTCTTTTAGTCACATAGCAGAAAGCATGGTGCTCTAGAGGGGAAGGAAGGCTTCCTAGGTAGACAAAAGAAACCGAAAAAAGGAGACACACAGGTCCTCATGGGGAACATCTACACAAGATGCTACTGCAACTTTGCACCCCCTGCTGTGGCAGTAGTCAGGCAGGTTGAGGAGCCAAGCACCACTCTGCTTATGAGGATGGGGGGGGAAAAATAATCCAGCCTGACCAGCCACAGAGCTAAGCCAGCACCTCACCCCAGCAAGGCACTGAGGAGGAGAGTGCTCATGGCCAGCTGCTAGTAGGATGCAGCTGAGAGCCTGCACTACCCAGAGTCCAATTCTGGGAGCTCTCTCCCTCTGGGACCCCACAATAACCATTGTCTGTTGAAGGTGGGGAGAAACTTACTGGCTAGGACAGACATACAAGTTAGCCAAGATTGCAATCTCAAGCTTCAACCTCATGCTTGGGGGAAGAGGGTAAGCTGCAGGGCCCAGGCCTGGAGCCTTCTCTGTGGGACTTTTGCTGGGGTCCAAGTCTTTACATACCCGTGCCTGAGGACTGGGGAAAATTTAAAAACAAAATTACCATCCCTGGCCAGGAGGGGCAGTGCAGCTGGACGAGACTAGGATCTTGAACCCGTAACTTTATGTTTAAAAGGCCAGAGACCCTGCTACTGGACCACCAGCAGTGGCTTTTTTTGGCGTTCTCCTACCAGCAAATTTCACTGTTGCAGCCCTTTTTGGGCTGATGATTTTCCAGAAGGCAAAGCCAGATCCCCCAGCAACTAGTGTGCCAGAAGACTACTTTTCCTCTTTTCCTGCAGTAGAGTCACTCCTACTACAGTTTAAAGTAGCACCCCGAGCTCCGGGTTTCTGACTCCTTGTTCTTAGTGTCCCGATTCCAGCTCCTGACTCCTTTAACTCTAGATTTGCCAGTTCCTGATTTCTCCCCACACCTCTCTCACCCCCGTGTACCTGATTCCAATCAAGACCTGTTTTCTGGCAGTGGGCTCCTGACTTTAGTTTAGCAATCACCTGCACCCTTGTCCCTTACAGCTAGAATCACCTGCGCCAAGCCCCCCTGACTAGCAACATTTCAGTACTTTACTGAACTTGGTCTCCTGCCCTGCGTCCTCCTAATCCTGACTCTTGTATTTAGTCTGGACCTTGTCTGCTCCTGATTCCCCGAGTTGTAACCCTCTATGGCCAAGCCTTGACCAACCACATCCTGGTCATTCCCCAGGACGTGCACAGCTCTGATACAGCAGCTGTACTAGCAGAGCACAAAGTGCTGTCTGGGAGAACAGCAACTACTAAAGAGCTCTCTAAAGCTAGCAGAAGGGACAGTGCCTACACGTATCTTCTGCTGGCTGCCAGATGGTGGCAGAATCTCCAAGAGAGAAATGAAATCACTCTGACCACAAAAAGGGGAGGCTCTGCCCTCAATGAGTACCTTTGAATGTGGACAATCTAAACCCTTTTCCAACAGAACACTGTATTGCAGACTGGGTCTCTGTATTGAGCAAAACCCTAGATATGGATCTCAATACTAATTACAAGCACATAAGACATTTGTGCTAGTGGATAGCTAGAAGTGTTATAGCCAGCCTGAACTGACTGATTCGGAAGTATGCTCACACTATTTTGTGGTCTTCCTAGTCATTTCATGAGAAAGAAGCTGAAGAGTTCTCCCTTTCTTGATGGAAGAACAGCAGTACTTCATTGTATACTTTGTAATTAGGTGGGTAATAGGGTTACTAGCATAAGAGTCTAAACATAAATAGCATTCACTCATTTCTAGTATTTCTTAAGCAGAGGTCATAGTTCACAAGCAGTTCTCATCTTAATTTACTACTTAAATTTAAAAATATGGCTTTGCCTATGCTTTTGTTTTGTTTTGATACAGAAAGGGACTAAAATTAAGTTTTACTCCAGTTCTTGTGGCCAATTTAAATTGCATTAATACAATTTTGCAATGCACCAGAAGTCAGGTCAATGGAGTTGGCAGTCAGCTAGGGTTGGTGTATAAAGGCAGTTATCCCACCCCATGATAGTATTATTCTAAAGGGAGAAGGGAAAAAAAACCCCAGCAGCTCAGGGCAGCTCCGCTCTCCCCTCTTTTCTCTGCTGCAGCTGCCACATAGACTTAGGGAAGAGGAATGAAGACTCCTAACGCTGCAAGAAAGCAGGAGTGACATGGGCACAGCACTGATTTGGACCATCTGAATTCCTGGTAGCTTCTGAGTATGGAAATAGACAGCTGGAAAGGTGGAGATATGCCCCCAGCTATATACTTTTCAGATCACTTAAAAAGCACTGTTCCCCCATCCCCTACACACAGACACACACTTTTTGTCTAAAGGGTTCCTTTAGAGAAAGTAGAAGCAAGAGGGAAAAAAAACCAATGTAAAAAGAATGGAGCCTGTCAAACAAGGCAGGCCAGCTAAACAAGTGAATCCTTTCATGTAAAGCTGGATTTACCAAGTGTAATGTTTATGGTTGGGCAATAAATACACAAAAAGCCTTATTATAGTGCCAAGGAGCTAGAAATGTTCTTCAGGCCAAGTCAAAGCCACTTTTTTCAATGTGCACCAGAGTCTCATATTAGCTCTCTCTCACACAGACAGGCATTTATAGTGGTGTTTTCCTAAGTCTTAAAAAAATGAATTAACAAAACTGTTAGAGTAAAAAAAAAAAAGTTAGACACCATGACATTTCTGAATATGCTCCTCAAAGCACATGCTTTGTAATATGCCAGTAAGCTTTACCTCCACTTCCTTGTGTTCCTCTCAGGAAGCATACAAACAGTGACTTTCACACAACTGCTTCCCCTTCCCTAACATTTTTATTAGGGTGGTATTTCTCCTAATTCAGGTATGTTAAGGCTATTTAAACAAAGAATTACAACATATTAACACAAATGACCCCACAAAGAAGAGCATACTGTTGCCTGTAACAGAGTATGGTCTGTTTTGAGATAGTTCAAGTTTAGCAAACAACCTTCTTGCCTTCTTGAAGGGGCATAGAGAGTCATTTACTTTAGACAGACAGGCTCTCGTTGTTCTCGACGGATTCCAACTCTAACTGTGAGGAACACAGCCCAACTCCTAAAGAGGAATATAACCCAAACTTCTGACCAAGGAGTGACCATGTTAACATTTTTCACAATTCACCAGTTATACAGTGTATTTGGGACTAGAGCCATCAGTGGGCACAGATGCACATAAGAGGCCCCAACAGAAAGAAAGAGACTGAGCAACTCAGAATAAAAACATGAAAGTACTGAAACTTTATAGAGGTGGAATTCTTAACATCCGATTTTCATGGTGTACACCTTAGGGGAAGTCAATTTTCAGGCATACAATTCAAACAAAAAGCAATCACAAAAAATTCAGAATAGACTCATCCGCTATACCAAAAAAACTAATAACCAGGGCTCCATGAGTACTTAACATACTGTTATAATGCCCAGATATTTACTGTTGTTAAACAGGACAAACTACTTCTACTAAGAATGTCAGTCATTTTTTGCATCTATCAGCAACACAGTTTAAAGCCAGGATATAAGAATGTGAGTGACCCAACTATTACATTTAAGTTTTTATTTTTAAAAAAGCCAAAGTGAAGTTACATTTACATTACAGAATATTTTTAAACAAGGCCTTCCTGTTAAAGCTTTAAATATATTATGAAAAAAACATTTTGTGATTTTTTTTACACCTGCACAAAGCTTTGAGATCACACAGTAGTCACCAATGGTTTTAAAACAACTATATTGCACAGATCCACTCAACCACCACAAATTCTTAGCTTAGTTTATGTTGTAAAGTGCTATTTTGTAGGAAGAAACAAGTTTTGAAAAACAAACAAACACTTAGAGGCAGGCAAGTATCACTGAACTGTTTTCTTCCCTTTGTAGTTAAAAAGAAATAATTTGCTTCCATATACTTGATGATAGTATATTTGCATTTATTAAACTGGAGTAAGCACCATGTATTATCATACTGAATGTGTCTGAAATATTCAAGTAATGCCCAGTGCCAAATCAATCAATGTTCAACTCAAATAAGGAAATGCATACACCAGAAGTTCCCTGGCTGGATCATACTTTAATTGACAAACATACTGGGATTTTAAAGTACTATCAATCCCCTGTCTAATAAAGTTATTGCATAGGTGGTACATATTAAATTAATGCAAAATAAAGTTAATATGTTTTATGCTTATGATCCAGAATGACCCCAATATCCTCAATCAAAAATGCTGTAGTATTTAAATTCCAATTCATATACTTGTACTTAGCACAGCTTGTAAACTTACTCCATATACAGCCAGCAAAATTACTATCACAATCAAAACAGAACACTAGACATTTGTTTCAGAATTATTTTCCACAGAGGTTCATCTTTCACAAACTAGACTAAAACCAACAATGCAGGTACTTCAGTCATTTTTGCACAGATTCCTTTCAATCATTACCACACAGATAATCATCAGAGTTTAATGGAACAGGAATAGACACTTAAACTAAAGACACTTTAAGGCAAAAAAAAAAAAATCTCAAACTTAATCAGTGCATTTTCTTAACTTATTCTTATTAAAAACATTCCTTTATTGGATCCAAAGTTAACTTATAAAATATTTATTAACAGAAATACCTGAATTAATTTAAATTTAAAAGTCGCTTATGTTTTATCACTTATGACAATTATTCAATTATTTTTTGCGCAGAAAAAGACCAAGTACCATTATTATACATGCCCATAGTTACACAGACAATGAAATCAAATATTTCAAGACAAACTGCACTTCTCAATATATTTTATCCAGTCTATACTAAAACCCTGGAATAGTAAGAGCTCTTAATAGAAGAGCTATACACCAGTTTTACAGGTCATCATTTTATACACTTAGTGTGATTATAGGCTATGTGATACCATTCTTTTAATATTATTTTCCCCTTTCAAATACAAGCCAGGTTCAACTGTAGTTTTGATATCCTAGTGCTTTGTACTTTCAACTGGTGCAAACCTCAGTGTTGCTTAGGATTTAGTTACAAGAACTCCTCAAACTCATTCAGACAGGCTTCTTTTAAAATGAAGAGCATATACAGAAAATAACAGCAATAAAATAGACTATGTGGGTCTTACTCCATTAAAAAATGGAATGTGATGTCAACAGTACCAACTAGATAGATGATTTAACTTGCATAAAAGGCAGGTTCCTAGGTCAAGTAAAGCAACCAGGTTGCTAATAAAACTTTTTTTTCATACATTTGTGGAATGTGGGTTACCACACAACAAAAAGGCAGCACAGTGAATAGAAGGATGTCCCCTCTAGAGAGTTGGTAGAGAGATTAGATCATGTTCAGTTTTGTGCATAAAAAAATAAGACCAAAAAGCCTGAGTGCGACAAGAACACTTAAACAGGATGTAATTATTCAAGAATTTATGCTAAGGCAGATCCTTCTGCTTTCATTTCTGATCTCAAAACAGCAATTTGTAGAGATATGCACTACACATCATCTGGATATTCCAAATACTTTGCTGTGATGGCCTCCTCAAGATGAATCCCTGCACTGCCCATTAATGCAAATGCCGGATACATTGTACCCGAACAATCTACCTGGCGCTCATAAAGGCATTTCATGTGGTCAGCATCATAGAATCCAACTTTGCCTTTGTCATAGTCCAGGCAGATTCCTATACAAGACGGCATGGGAAGAATCCTGTTGGCAGAATCTTTGGGAGCAGTAGGTGCCTTGGGAATAAAGAATTTCTTCATGCCTAAAGTAACCAATGTAAAAGGCTGAGATGATTCAAAGCAGGTATCTTCACTCCCGCTGTCATGACCGCTGTCTTGCTCATACCTAGAACAGAAGAGCAGCATTGTCTGAAATCTGAAAGGCTGAGAGAGTTCTTAATATGATCTACTAAAACTAGGGATCTACTGAAATTGGGACAGCTGCCCACCACTTTCACAAGCAGAACATGGTGGTGCCCCCACTCCTCTGATTAGCTGAGGGTCCCTGATGGCCCTGCCCCTTGCCTCTTGGCTGTGAGGACTGCCCATCTTGCAGCCCTGCCCCCTCACTGCTAATTGGTGGAAAGGGAGAGGGCCACATGATGGGTAGCCCTTCCAGCCAATCAGCAGTGAGGGGCAGGGGCAGCACTCATCTTGCCAGCAGCCCTTCGAGTGGGCAGAACCTCCTCCCCCTCTTTCCCCGCAGCACCCTAAGGACTGCCGGCTCCCTCTGGGGAGCCAATATTTTATTTTCAGTAAGTTGGGGTTTTTTCCTCCCTACAGATTTCGCGGATTTCACAAAATCCGCAAACCGTGATTTTGGTAGGACCCTAATTATAACAAGTATTTTATAGCACGAATCATCATAAGATGATAGAGCACCACAACACATTTCTAATACAAGTGAGGGTGTGACACTACCTCAGCTAGCATATCCCTGGTATCAGTGAAGGTCAGGTTACAGCTGAGGGCGACAAAGACCATCCACCAGAATAGGATCCACCATGAGTCATGCCACAAATCCCAATTGCTGGCTTGTGCTGAAACCCACACTTTTGGCTTATCTTTGAAATCCTTATCTATGCTAGATAAAATAGATCCTAACTGACATGCTGTGTAGGTGTTCCCTGAATTAAGGTGTTACTAGCGCTGGTGGGAATATCCTTGTTAGCTTTAATCTACCTGTAAGGAGTTCCAGGTGTTGCTGTGTCTAGGACACAGGACATCTGCATTCAGTCTCCTGCTCTAAAAGAGACCATGGACAAATCACAATATTGATGTTTGTTTCTTTATCTGTAACATCGGTCAAGTCGTTCTATCCCCAACAGAGTTCTTACAAAGCCAGAGTCACTAATGATTAAAAGATGCTAGATGTTGTGCTAATCAGCACTATGCCTTTAAAACAACAACAAAATCAGTCTAGATAGATGTAGCAGTACTGAGTAACAAGTCCTGGCAGAACCTCCTCAGCCTAATGAGATCAACTGCATCAATGCTAGAAGCAGATCAGTAAAGGGCCTGCAGGATTATGCCTGCAGCTCAACATTTAACCACTGTGCTCAAGTCTATATTTTAAACAACCCCTTCCTTTCAGCATACATAAAATGGATATAAAAATAAGTGGAATAATTCCTATTTTAATTGTCCTCCTCTTTTTTCAGCCTCATGTCTAAGATAACATGAAGAACAGTTTGTCAGCTTGACCCAAGGGTAATTAATACTAACCAGATCAAGACTTTCTGTTAAACTACAGAGAGGAAGCCTGGCAAAGGGAGGGAAATACCTACTCATTTATCAACTGCTTGATTACTATAAGTAGACAGAATACCATTAACTCAACAGCACATAGCAAGGCAACAGGAATGACTAAAAATACACATGTGCACATACAATAACTGTTTTTTCCTAACCATTATCTGATACCTTGGTATTAGTTTGGGTTTTCCCTTTGATAGCAAGGGATCAGAGTATTGACAAGAGGAGGGAAGTTTACAATATGGCTCTACAGGAAATTAAGTTTCTTTTACTGCCACGGTGCTTCCTTGTGCAGAAAATCCAGAATGTATATCAAGAGGTGATGAAAAGAGTAGGGGTGAACCGATAAAGATTTTTTGGGTTGATACCAACAGCCAACCAGCCATATCAGCCAATACCGATCCAATTGCTGATATGCAGCCTGGAGAACAGCATCCGGCTGGTAAATCTGTGGAGGGAAAGGGCATAGGGGTGTAGATCAAGGCACCCACAGTGAGGGAGGGAGTGGGGCTGGGGCAGGGGCAGGCACTGCCTAGCCAGAGCAGGGTGGGGCACAGGATGGAGCCACAGGCGGCTCGTCCAGGGATACCAGGGGGTGGAGAGCAGCTCCCACCGCTGCACACACCCCCGGGTGAGGTATCAGGGGCACGTGACACCTGGATTTGTGCATGGGGTGAGGGCAGGCTGCCTGCTGGGGGCTGGGGCCAGGAGCTGCCCCAGCCTCTTCCTGGAAGTGGGGCTGGGCCAGGGCTGCACTCAGGGCAGGTGGTGGCAATGACACTGGGAAGGGGGGCTATGGGGTGGGCTACAGCCATCCCAAAATCTGTGGTAGCTATCCCATAGTCCCCTCCCAGTGCTGCTGCTGCCCTCCCTGCCCTGAGTGCAGCCCCAGCCCAGCCACTCTGCCGGGAAGAAACTGGTGCAGCCCCAAGCCGATAGCACACAGCCCACCCTCGTCTCGAGCACAAATCCAGAGGGCACATGCTTGCCATGACTCCACTGGGGGTGTGCGCAGCAGCAAGAGCTGCCCCTCCTCCCTGCCCCCCTACACTCCCAGACAAGCTGCCCACAGCTCCATCCTGCATCCTGCCACGGCTGGGCAGCACCTGCCCCTGCCCCTACCCCAGCCCCCTCCCTCCCTCACCATGGGGGCCTCAATCTGCCCCCCCTCATGCCCCCACAGACTTTACCAGCTGGACACTGGTCTCCAAACTACTGGGCTGCATTCCTGGCCACATGCATGCTGCAGCTGCGCACACGCAAGTGGCATTTATTGGTGACATTATCAGCCACACCAGCCAAAAAAAGCTGACTGCTGATAAAGGTAAATTTTCCTTTTTATCATTGCCAGTACTACATGGACCAATATATCTGTGCACCTCTAGAAAAGACCACACCATTCTTTTCACAAACACACCTGCACCCACACTGACATCCCTTCCCAAGTGATCTCTGAATTATCTTCTAAACAATAAACCCAACAGGCATATATATAAGCAAGTATCACAACTCCACTTACAGCCATTTATCAGTTCAAGTTTTGAACATCTACAATGATTTAAGAATGGTGAACTTTCACTAGAGGATGGATTATTGGAGCTTACACTTAAATAAAATGGTATCTGTCACTTGCTTCACTTACAGGCCCACTATACCAGTTCTGACTCAGCTTCCCAGGAAATGCATTAATGGCTTAACATTAAAATTTAGGAGAACCCAAACAAAAGAGTGAGGACAGAAAGTGTAAGTTATGGCAACTGAATTACTTTCCAGACTTCCCTATGCATTTGACCTTTGGTATTCTTCCCCAGAGCAATACATACCCAACAAGAATGGCACGTGAGCTCTACTCTGCAAATATTCCTAATATTGATGAGGGACCAAACTGTGTCACCAACTGGTAATTTAGCCTCTATCATTTGGTTATAAAACACAGGCTGACTGAAAACACAGAGGTACGTAGCTCGTGGAAAGATGAGGGAAGAGAAAGGAAACATTAGAAGCACTGTGACATAGGGTCACATTTTAGTTCTACTAATTAAAAATTTACCAGGGAAAAAAATTACTTTAATTTACTGGCTGAAAAAAAGACAACAAAAAGCCGCACCTAGTTTTCCTATCTCATCTTAGACAACAGCCTACCATTTACCTTGGGCTGGTTACATCACGGGGATTATGGAACCACTCTTGTATTTTAGCACTAGATGCAACTCCCACTTTCACCAGGTATGAATAGGATTCCACACGAAAAGCCCAGAAGTGCTTCCCTTTTGTGATTCCTGTGTCTCCGATGATGTAGTCAAGAGTCACGTAACACCCCACTTGGATACGTTCGGCTCCTAGCAGCAGAGGAAATCCAGCCCGACTTTCCACAGAGTTTCTCCTTGCATTCAGCACAAGACGTTCTTGGTTGTAGCCACACTTGTCATCAAAGAGAAAACTATAGACTAAAAAAACCACCCAAAAACCAAACATTTATATTAGCACAATAGTTGACCATATTTCTGATACTTAACCTATTCCTTGTGCCAGCACATCTTGGATTTTTTTTTTTTTTTTTTTTTTTTTTTTTTTAACGCAAACTACTGGATTACAATTCAAGAAACAGTAGATTGCTTACTATCGGACGTTTACAATTATTTGCAACTTTAATCATTTCATTAACATAATACTTTCAACAAACGTACACACATAGGATGATAACAAAATTAAGTACGGATTGAAAATGGCTGCATTAGAAAGAAATTGTAGGTGCTGTGTATTGATACAATTGTTTATGGACAAGGCAAAAAGCATACTATACCTGGAGCTGGAGGTGTGTGCAAGATAACTTCCCTGCTCCATGGGCTACAGATAGACCCTTTATAGCCTCGGACTCTAAAAGCATAGCTGCTGTTGTTATCAAGGTCAGAGATTACTTTACTTCTGTTGCAGACTTCAGTCTCCTGCCACATTGCATTCTCCTCTTCTCTATTAAGCTTACGATATTCAAGGATATAGGTATCAGCTAACTCTGCCTTCCCTGGCTGCTCCCAACTGATCAAAGCTTTATTATACATTCTGCTCTGCTCCTCATTGATCTCTGGTACATCTAGACCTGGAATAGAAGTTTTATATATTGGTCAAAGGCTACATGACATATGATTTACAATGAATGCAATGAAGAGTTTTCTGGGGTGGGCATTGCAAATCCACGTTTTACTAATGTTCCTCCTGTTTTCTGTACTTATTGTTTAAGTTCAGTACTTCTTATATAAACATTTGAAAAGTCAAGTATCTACAGTACATTTTAAAAACCACAATATGCCCCTTACCTGTCACTTGAGGGATCAAAACCTTCTAGTTGGACCAAATATGACCAAAATCCTATCAAACACTTCCAAACAATAAAAAACAGTCCTAATATTAACTTATTAGCAAACAGCTATTTAAGCAAGCTTTTATGGTGTTTTACTTCTAAAAGCAAATGTCTGTTGTGGTTATTCAAAATAATTTTCAGTGCCAGTTTACCTTAGGTTTCTACTGCATATTTACCAAAACTTAAGCCTGCAATATTAACATGTATACTATATTTAGTGGTCTTCCCCCTCCACTCCCTTATTGGACAGTATCATATTATGATCACAACTCTCTTCCATCACAGTATTTTTTCAGAAGCAGTACTAAATGTTCTTGCTCTCATTATAAACTGCAAAAGTAAGACTGAAATTTTAGAGTGCTTTGTTAGAGAGAACAGCAGAGCTGTCTCTCACCACAAAGAGCTTTTCTATCACTTCTTGCAGGGAAATAGCTTTGCGAGGGTCAGAGAGAAGCAAAGGAGAGACAATGAATTCTCCAAGGCTATGGACTGTGAACCTTTCCTAATACATAGGCTCCTTCCAGTGTTAGCATTAATCACTGATCCCCAGATCAAGAAAGAGTAAGCGAGACTGCCATTACTTCTGCAACTTACCACTGGAATAAAAAGACAAGTCTCCAAGAGTCTCCTCTTGCTTGGCTGTATCAAGCACAAAGTCTTCAAAAGAAGCTTGAGCTGCTGGTCTGAAACTCTTCAGAGATTCAGTAGCTTTCTGTATTCTAAAAAATGACAGAGATAAATAAATACTAATGTTTATTTAATACCACAGTATAGTAACAAAAGCCAGATGAAAATTCTGGCCCAAAATGTCATCCATCTTGCAACATGATAAATCCAAAATATCCCAATAAATCTGACAAGTGGAGGTGTCTGTAGATAAGCATCCATAAAAACAGTTTAGGAAACAAAACATATGTGAATAATTAGTAATAGCATAATCTAATCTAGCCCCAACAACTTTGCAATAGTCCCTTACTATGGCACAATACCTTTTGACTTAACCATTTTCTGATGGATGAATTTCCCATCATTTATATCAAGAGAAAGGTTCACCTCTGTGTGTTTTCTACATTACAATTCAACGTAAAAGTTATCCGCACCATAAATCTGGGTTCATTAACCTCTGCAAAATAAGCATCAGTTACATCCAGTATTTTGTCAAACAACAACATCCTAGCAATATTTAAAAACACTTGCCATGACAACTATTTTAAAGTGCATCTAAAATTTAAGTGCATTTTAAAATGTAAATACCTGACATGAAGCTGTTTTGCTGTTTGAACAAAGCAAGATTGGTCTGTTTCTTTAAGCACTTCTTGGGCATATCCTACAAGGCCATTGTTTTCCAGAAGTCCCTGATATTCCTCTATTTGAGTCTGCAGTTTCTCCAGTCTTAAATTCTTAGAAGCATCAATTGCCCTGAGAGCAGATGATCTCCTCTCTTGCAAAACATCAAACAACTTGTCAAAATTATGAGATGCTTCTTCTTTAGCTCTCTCCCCATTGCACTATTATAAGAAATAAAGTACATTAAAAATCCCCAAGATTTACTCATTCTACAGCACCGTGGAATCTTATGGGAAGTAGTTTCAAAACAGCAGTTAAAAATTCTAACAATGCAGTTATTTTTGATGGGCAACTAGACCATTTTTTAATCACTTAATTAAAAGAGTAAGGAGTTTTGTGCACAAGTTCATAAATAGTCATTAGCCTTTCAAAATAGTAATGTAGTCAAAAAATAAAACAAGAAAATACTTCTCTAATCATCCCAGAAATATACAGAGCATAACTCTCCCTATATCATTCCCACTAGGCATTTTAATTTGTGTGATAAAAGCTCAACAGCTCAGCTTGGTAGTCTTTTCCAGCACTCAGATGTTTCAAGTAAGAAGTTTCCTACTGTGGTAATTAACATTTGTGTCAGGCTCATTATTCAAAAGAAGAATTATTTCCACTATGGGGCAGAAAAATATGGATTTAAGAATTTCCACATGTCCTCTGTTCTTTAAGTTTATACCGTTTCCCCAACAAAGATACTAGCTTTAATTTCGCAAGTAGGAAATTCCTTTATTTCCTTAGATTTATGGCTTTCATTCTTGCCATACTATCACTGTATAATCAAATGGAGACTAGAGACTACATAATCAAAGAGCAACTGACATTCCTACAACCTGAGGCAGCCTTCCTTTCTCATTCATTCTGTTTTGCTTCTGGTCTTATATGTGAATTTTTCTTCTTAGCACTACTGTACATGTTTTTCCTATTTAATCTTAAATATGTCCTTTTTCAAATCAGGTTCCCGATATGCAGGGGACAATCACTAGAGGCGCATGTAGATGTGACAATTTTCACCTGACCTAGCCCCTGAAAGTGCTCTGTTTGGTTATGGCTGTAGAAGTGAATGGTGCAGAGTGCTTTAAAAGGGTCCAATCCCATGAAAATCTGAACCATCATTGCACAAGGGTTCAGATGAAGACACTCCAAAATGAAGCGCCCTCAGTAATTTTCGTCTGGGCTGCTTCCCACCCGGGGACTGTTTTCAAAATGAGAGGAGGGAGTTCAGTCTCGGGTTTTTTCAGCCAACTCAGGAGGGAGTACTGAAGCCATCTGAGGTGGAGAAGCTCCAATCCACCTGCCCCATCCTCCAGCACCACCTGGGGAACCTCTAGGACAGGGCTGGCAGGGAAGAGGGGCATGGCTCTGGGGAGAGCAGCTGCAGGCTCACAACAGCTCTAAACAACAGCTGGATTCCCTAACACCCAGCACTCAATAGCACATTTCTGTTGGGTCCAGAGGATCATTGAAACTCAGAGCATTTCCTGCAAAGTGCCATGAGTTATAACAGGGAGCTGCACTTCTGTCTGTCTTAGATTTTTTCCACTTTAAATACGTTATAGTAGCATTTAAAGCTTCTGATCTGGACTGGGTGCTTATTGTACACTGAAGACATCCCCTGCCCTGAAGAAGTCCAAGAGGACATTATCAGACACCTGACTGGTACCAGAGCTGACCTTAGGGGAAATGGTGTCCTAGGCAAACTTGTATTTTGGCGCCATCCTCCACCCTAACCCAGTGCCCCCCCCGCCCCTTTCCCCAAGCCACCAGCACTGATACCCTGCCACACAGTGGCTCCATCCAACGGGCCAAGGAGCTGGGCAGCATGTGTGTATGACACCTCCCTGATCACAGCACCCTGGGCTGTCTCCCATGTTGCCCACCACTAAAGTCAGCTCTGACAGGTACCTGTGTCAAAGGAGGTTTAACTCAAATCATTCTCAAATACAATGCACAAAATAAAAAGTTCTGATAGATCTCCTCCTCCCAAAAAGTCACAGAACTCAGTTTCAGCACATTTCCATAAAGTAAACAAGAGAAAATCATGACTGTACTCCAATATTAACAGCCCCCATTACGATACCTAGCAAAAAACCCACTTATCAAGTTATCCTTACCTGTGTTTCTTTCATCAAGAGACTCAGTTCAGAAATCTGACCTTTTACCTGGCTCTCCTTACTAATGAGGTAATCAATATCCTTTGAAAGCTTCTCCTATTGAAATATAATAAAAAATTATCAGAAACAGAATTCTATCTTCATTGTCTTATATGGTTTACATGCAGCCACTGTCAGACATCTAGAGTTCACTTTACATATCTGCAGGCACTAAATAGCTCTAGATTACAAAAAGCAGCAGGTTACAGGAATATGCACAGTAGGCCTGTGCAAAGTGGAAAGTATTTGCTTCGGATTTGGCTGATTCAGAGGGACAGTGATTCAATTCAGTGATTCATAGATTTCATAGACATTAGGGCTGGAAGGGACCTCGGAAAATCATTGAGTCCAGCCCCCTGCCCAAAGGGCAGGAAGTCAGCTGGGGTCATAGGATCCCAGCAAGATAAGCATCCAGTTTGCTCTTGAAGGTGTTCAATGTAGGCGCTTGAACCACCTCCGGTGGCAGGCTGTTCCAGACCTTGGGGGCTCGGACAGTAAAGAAATTCTTCCTTATGTCCAGCCTGAAACAGTCTTGTAGTAGTTTATGACCATTCGACCTAGTCGTCATCCCTTGGGGCACTCTGGTGAACAAACGTTCCCCCAGATACTGGTGGTCACCCCGATAAACTTATCAGTGGCCATCAGATCACCCCTGAGCCTGCGCTTTTCCAGGCTAAAGAGCCCCATGGCTCTCAGCCTGTCATCGTAGGGTCTGCTTCCCTGACCTCTGATCATGCACGTGGCTCTTCTCTGGACTCTCTCAAGCTCCTCCACATCCTTTTTGAATTGTGGAGCCCAAAACTGGACACAGTACTCCAGCTGCGGCCTCACCAAGGCCGAGTACAAGGGGAGAATGACGTCCTGGGATTTGCT